TTTTGATGATCTGTGGTCCATATCCCCCCCCCCTATTATTTGTCGCTCAGGAGAATTCTAATAATGATCAGTGATATTTCAATTCTTTTTTTTTTACATTGTTCTGAAGCTGTTTGGATTGCTGAGGGAAGAATAATTTTATTGGTCGGAAGTAGCATGGAAATTTTTTTTCTAAAACCTTTTTTGCCAGAAATAAAAAAAAATTAGTGACGTTTTCAATGTTTTCAGTTTATTGTATTGCAAAATTATTAAATATGCCAGTGATGCCTCAATAGACATTACATATTTCCTAGCTTTTAAAATTTCGTTAATTTCTAAAATTCTTATTTAATTTCTTATTTAATTCTTATTTAATTTCTTATTTAATTCTTGTTTAATTTCTTATTTAATTTCTTATTTAATTCTTATTTAATTTCTTATTTAATTTCTTATTTAATTTCTTATTTAATTTCTTATTTTTATTTAATTAGTTAATTTCTTATTTTTTTTAAATCATTCTTTCCCAAATTTTAATTAAATTAAATCAACTAGTTAATTTTTATTAAAATTTATGAAGAAGCGAGCATAAAATATTTTATTCCTTTCTTATGGATCAATGTAACGGCTAACTTTTTAATTCAATACTAATGTAGACTGATAATTTCACAGTCGCTCTTAATCGGAAAAAAATATCTATTTATAACTCTTTATTCTTTATTTCTTATCACAAATATGTTTCAATTTCATGGTTATACTAATTCTCACAGTCTTCTTGGCGATTCGCAATCACCAGAAGTATTTTCAAACCTAATATTAATTGGGGGGGGGGCTTTATTTTTGGCAATGTTATTTTGGCGATAAATCACCAATCTTAGATTTCTTCCATTCTCCTAACTGTCAGTTGAGAACAATTCAATCACTTTTTGTCTTTTTTTTTATCATCCTGTTTTTCACCACAATCTTCAATTAGTCGATTGTATCATATAACTTCCAACTACACCTGATTCCGTCATCACAATGCCTAGAGTTAGACATTGAATAGATTTGTTTTTTTTATCCTAAAAGTTTAACTTTTATTTTTAACCCAAAGATCAATTTCTATCTTTAGTAAAACTGATTAACATTTTTTTCTTTTTATCTGCTTTGCGGATTATCAGAAGTTTTGAAATGTTTTATTTTCATTTATTTTTGTTTATTGATTTATTTTTTATTTGTTTCATTTATTTTTTATTTATTTCATTTATTTATTTGTTTATTTATTTATTTGAATGTTGATTAAATTTTATCAAATAATCAATTTGAAATTATATCTAGTTAATTTAAAGGACGAACACTTAAAATAATCACCGTATTAAGTTAGCAATCTTTCTAAAAATTCTTTCCGCTTAAGGTTATTGACATTTTCAACGTCTTGTATTTTAAAATATAAAAATAAGTTGCAATGCTTGATATTAAAGAACCTTCGTTTTCTATCCTTGTAACTTAACTTCTGTTTGCAAACCAAAAAAAAAAAATAAATAAATAAACTTCTCACTATCTATAGTATACTACCTATAGTACATAAGCATTTTCGCTTTTCCTCTGTTTCGCCGGACTTTATAAAGTTTTATACCATTAATTGGTTTATTATTTTATAATGTATTTTTTTATTTTTAACTCATAAACCAAATTTAATCTGAGCTGTTTCAGATTTCTCGAAAAAAATGGTTAAATAACAATTTATTGAAGGGTTATTTTACCATATTTAATCAAAACTGTTTATTCACCTAATACGGTTAAATAACCAGAATTTTATCTTACCTACTAGAACCACCTAATGAAGCCACTTAGTTCTTTGTAACTGCAAACATATCATAGCCTAGCGGGCCTATCTGTAAATCGAGTCCTAGTGTTGACACCACAATATTTCTCCATTTCCTTCAACACGTGACGAATTTCCAGTGTCCGGCACTCTCCAATGCCCATTACCTTAGGAAAAGCCGAGCTCCTATGTCCATTTAAATAATTAAATTTTTTAATACATTTTTGAAAAATGCTAGTTGTAAATCGCTAAAAAAACCGTATAGTTTTGTATTCATGGTTTTATAACCATACTTTTTGTAAATGATTTCAAAACCATAAAGGAAAAAAATGTTCTTTACCGTAAACTTTACGGTTAATCGGATTTTACCATAATTTTAGAATGAAAATTTCAACAGTATACTTAAAGTAGAAATACAATCAAAATAATCATTATTTTATGCTAGCAATCATTCTAAGTTCCTTTCCGCTAAATATAAATAGTTATTGATGTATTCAAAGTTGAATTGAAGAATATAAAAATAAGTATGCTTAATGCTTGGCATTCAATACCCTTCTTTTTCTGTCCTAACAATTTAACTTTATATTTGCAAGCCAAAGATCAACTTTTCACAATGCATGTTAAAGCTCATGAATATTTCCAGTTTTCATCGGTTTTGCCGGAAGATATCCGTCGAGTTTACATATCTGATTTATTTATTCCCCTCTTCCGGGATAAATAATACACCCGCGATTTTTCACTTCATTCTAAAACGATTGTTTACCGATAAATGCTCACAACAAAAACAAGCGTAAGTGATGAACTGAAAGGAAAAGAGGAAAAAAAATTTCTGTTTTCTCCTGACATTATGTTCGATCACTGCCATCTACGATTAAGTTTTCATCGATTAAACAATCGCTCAACCCCTCTGTCAATCGATTTGCGAGAGCACTTCACGCAAATTCGATAGCACAACTTTCTTTTTAGCTGATTATTTGCGAAGGGGAGAATATGCGAAAATAAAAAATAAAAATTGCGAAAAAAGAAAAACATTAAATAAAGTTTCGGCTTTGTTGACCCTTAAAATTGCCGCCCCCGTTTATTTGCTTTATGGTTGCCTATATGAATGATTAGAGGCAAGGGTGGACTGCGGAAAAGATTGGCAAAAAAATAAAAAGTCAAGTGTTCTGTATCGATAAATTGCTTTGTGCGTTCGAATAGATAATCTGTATTGGAAGGGAAAACGTTCTGAAGTGTTCTTTTTGCGTCTCCTCAATTGTAGTGTCTTCCTCTGCAAACACTTGTAAGCTTTCATTTAGTCGTTGAAAATCAAATAGAGAATAATTTGTTTTATTAAATATGTTCTGCCTCGATTGTATTACGTGTTTACAAAATGAATTATCGTTCTCTAAAAAAACTTTCATTCTCTTCTATGACAATCATCTGAGGCTGAATTCCTTTTCAGACACTGTCATCATCCGTGATTTTCAATTACGTAATATTTATTTCATTATAGAAATGCTTATTTATTTAACTCAAAAAATATCTCTCTGAGAATTAATACAATTTAAGGGGAATTACTAAAAATCCAATCTAAATGTAATTTTCGTCATGGGGGATTTGAGTAGAATTTTTTTCGTTTTTTTTTTATTTCGTTTGCTGTAATCAAATTTTTTAATGTATGTATTGAAACCAAAATCATAAAAACGTATCATTTTTTGTCGTTTTTAATGCTACTTGCCAATCCCGCAAACCTGTTTGTGAAACCAAGGCAGAAGGTGCATTTTCTTGTTTTTCAGTGGCGCCATCTATGGCCAAGAATAAGACTTCAACCACACACCCGTCACAACCCGTTTCTAAGACGGCCCCAATCATACATCTGATCGTAATTTTGACCTGAACCAGAGAACTATCAATCTCCAATTCAGTACCTAGAGGTATAATTTGTATGGAAACATGGAGGACTTTGTGACCAGACAGATTTAACATGCACTAGTTACCATTTACTACGCAGGGAGTCATCGGCCTACGGGGATCGAACTTGGACATGGAGTCATCGCCCTACCAACCATTCTATCCCGGCATACCCTTTTTTTTTTTTTTTAAATAGAAAGCTCCTTCGATTTTATTATGTAATCTTGTTTATATGAGGTGGATTGCGTGTTTTTCATGTCAAGGGATATTATAATTTAATTCCTATATTACCGAAATATTATTTGCTTAATACTTTTTATTTATTTATTTTTTATAATTTTCATTAAAAGCACTGTAATAATTTCCATTATTACAATTTCTCACTTTAGGGACTTAACCATAAGAAGTGGTTAAGGTATCACTAATTACATCGTTATTAATTATAAAAATAACGTATGATTTAAATAATATGGAAATTTGTTTCTGTTATCAGGGTGTTCTTTGGTAAAAGCTGATTGAAAAGAAAAGAGAATAGTGGTCTGTAATTACCAGAAAAAAATGTTGTTGATCAGGCACAAAAGTTTTACTGTATCTTATAAACTTCGTAAAAAAAGTGATCCAAATATTTTAAATTTTTAAATTTGTGAAAAAAAATTGGAAAAGTTTTCAAATTTAAAAGAATTTTTTAAACTTTTAATTTAATTGTTTATCTTTTTAATGTGCTTTGAACGCAAAATGCAGTTACGTTACAAATAATTCAGGGTAATCATATGTAATCGTGGTTACACTTCATCGCAATTAACCATTGCAATTCTGATAGAGATTAAAATAATGATTAATAATCATGTGAAACGACAGGGAATTAAAAAGTCATTTAACTAAAATATATAACGTCTCTTCCTTTTCTCATTCTGACTAGAAAAGATCCAGTAAAATCACCTTCTACCTTAGAAAATTACTCATAATCATTATGCATCATTGTAATCATTATGCATCATGTACATTATGCATCATTCTACGTTATACTTATGTACAGTTCAGACAGTAATAAATCTGTTCACAATCGTAATCGACGTTACGATTAGCTACGATTACCCGTAATAACGACTAACAGTTAATAGAAATTTTGATTACATTTAGTCGATTACTTGTAAGCAATTCAATTTTGATTCATTTTGATAACGTAGTTTGTGCACTGCAGATATACTGTTGTAATAATGTAATACTTCACCAATGTAATACTTTCCCAAATAAATAATTAAATTTCTTTCGTGAAAACTGTTTTGCAATTGTTTTACATCTGTTTATATCTTTTTTTTCTCCACAGGAATGAAACACAAGTATGAATGTGACACAGAAGTAAATTTGTGCTTTTCAAGTCCATGCGGACCAAATGGTACATGCATCAGAAAAGAAGGTGGCTACACCTGCATCTGCCGTGACGGATTTGCGGGTGAGTACGATTTTATTCGCTTTTATCTTTGATACGACCCTTTTTACGACCATATCTTTGATGTTGTATTTTTGTCAACTTATGTTATATTATTGAAAATGATTGCGAAAAAGGTTTTTGAAAATAGGAACGGTACCTGTTTTTTAAAGAAATTATTCTCAATTTCGTTTCTCAGAATCCAAAATACCGTCGCCAATAGCCCATTGTGCAGCTCTAGGGCGACGTAAACGAACAACAACAACAACAGAATCCTAAACATTTATATATTTTCTATCACATAATCTTTAATCTATTAATGTCTAGCGTTCTTTTTCGGGGTCTTTTAATGTTTGGGCTTATTAAATAACTTCGCGAAATGAAGTAAAATAGCAAATAAAAAATAATAAATTAAAAGTAATAGCTTAAAAAATAATAAATTAAAATGCATAATTATTCTTGAGTTTAGGAATTAAAAAAAAATTCATAAATTCAATTAGAAACTTCATTTTCTCTCTTTTTTCAGTGCAAAGTTCGCATAAGTTTAATTTTATAACAGTGCAGAAAAGAGTAACATCCATATAGAAAAAAAAATGGCAACAGAAAAATGTAAGAAATGGAGCGCTTCGCTAACCTTACCTTATATAAGCTACAAAATAAAATTATTGTGCAATATGTTGCATATGTAGCTTTTTACAATGTTGTTAAAGATTCTTATTTAAAAAAGTTATAAAATGCTGGTATATATAAAATAAAAATATTTGAATAAAAAATATTTTGGCTAAGATTTGTGTATCAAAATCCCACTTGACACAATAACATTCTATATTATATATACTTAAATGTGTCGTGCATATTTGAATGTCATGCATATTTGAATGTCACTCTAATTTGAACAGGATGTATTGGTGGTGTATTTAATGACGATCAAATCATAAATATCCCACCCTCAATACAACTGCAAATTGTCTGTAATATTATTTTAGGAAATCATGATTGATATATTACGTAAATAAATGGAACGTGAAATTCTCAATACCAGTAATACGAAAATTATTATAGAGGTATTGCTTAAACTTATGAAGTATAGAAATCATTAACGGAATATTATGGAAATCATCATGAATATGTCGTTTTTATTTTTTAAATTTTGAAAATCATTGTTGAAATAGGAACCGATTATCCGGAATGATCGGGACCATCGCTATTCCGGATAACTGATTTTTCCGGTTTTCTGAATCGCTACAAAAAGCCGTTTTTTTTATTGTTAAACCCAACTAAAAAAAATATTTTTTTTGGAAATAATCTTAAAAAGAAGAAAAAACGATGAAGTAATACACTAATGATTATTTCCAAAATGATGGTAAGGTAAACATCTTTCAAAAAAGAAAGAAAAATCCTAAAATCTTATGAGGAAAAAAAAATTTTTTTTTAAATGGCGGGAAAATTTATCGAATTTCGTTCCGGTTTTTTGGTTTTCCGGTTTTCTGATTTCCGGATAACAGGTCCTGTACTGTAATACCAAAATCATTAAAATAACGTTGTTTAAATTTACAGAATGGAGAAATAATTTTAAAAATAATATGAGAATTACTATAAATATATTGATAATCATCATAGAAATAATCTGGTTATTATTTTTAATTTATTGTTTAAATCTATGGAATAAGGAGATCATTTTAAGAATAATATAGAAATTAATAATAGGTATATTGTTTCGATATTTTAGGAAAATAATTATGTTTAAATGCATTCTGGAAATCCTTATAAATATTTTTAAATTTATAGAATATAAAAATCGCCATAGATATATTGTTTGAAATTCTATAACGGATACCTAAAAAAACATGAATATTTGAATGCTAATCTAATTTGCATTAAATTTTCATGGCGTTACATTTAATGATGACACTTAAATTGGAAATATACGACCCTTAAATAAAACCGTAGATTAGATTTAATTTAATTGTTTAAGAAATATCAAATCGTTTAAGCAAAGGGAAGAATACATTAAAAAAATCAAAAAAACATGACCAATTTAAGACTGTCGCTTTTGAGAATTGTTTCCGAAATTTATTTAAAAATGTCTTGAAAAGTCTTAACTCATTTACTTCCTGCTGTAAATAAAGGAAAAGATTTATTTGATTTTAAAATAAATATTTAAATTTTTCTAAAACTCATATCTAAAAGATGCGTTTATATCTTTGTATTAAGCAAAAAAATTATGACGTTTTTGAAAAGTAGAAAGAGGAAGAGAAAAAAAAGTCTCTCGAAATGCAATTATGCAAATTTTTGTCCTGAAGGCGATTATTAAATTTTTATCTAATCTATATTCTTTTTCCTTTTTTTTACGAGAAAGGGAGAGTTCCAAATTCTTTATAAAAGCAGTTAAGGGTTTTCTTCTTGTCTTTAAAATATTTATATTTATCTTAAATAAATAAACAGTTTTGATATTTTCCTGCGAAAATGAACTGCTTTTTTTGTAAACCGATTACTGCTGAATGATCACTGTATAACTGCAGAGCTGCAGTTATTTCAGAAATGTTTATCATAATATCTTTAAGCATTTTCGTCATAGTTTTTAATTATCTAAAATTTTAACATTAAACGTTTTCTAATTTAAATAGTAATTCTTTTTATCAAAGCGTGTCTTAGATGTAGTGCTATTTAAGATGCATTTTTATAGCTAGAAATGTTGATTACAAAGCCTGTTTCAATTAAAAACAAAAAAATTTTTTATAGTGCCTAAGTATTTATTTAATTCTAATTTAATTTATTTGCTATCACTTTTACTGCAAAATCTTTTAAGCGTCTTAAGTCATAACGAAAGTGACTCTTGAAATGAAATTTTTTTGATGCTTTAGAAATAAAACAAGTTTTAACTTATCCAAATATGAATATTTTTATATCCAAATATGAATATATTAGATTTTCAAACCTAAGTTTTTACAGAAACAAAATATTTTGCTGATTCGGCAAAAGGTTGTTCATTACTGCTTAGTGCACAATTACGCGTTCCTATCTCTACTGTTATTACGACCTATTCTATTATTCTATAGTATTATTCTAGATATAGCGAATGAAAAAATGAGTTAGAGAGTGAATGAATGAAGGAAGGAAGGGATGGCTCAAGAGGGATATTAGCCTCGCCTTCTGATGACTCAACTCCGGTTTGATTTAAGGTGATGATTGGTCGTTCCATCTATTGCATCTTGCTCTCTCCTACCACAGTGCTGAGGTAAAATACTTTGTGAAAAAGGAAGAGTTAGCCAGAAATCCCTTGATGGGTTTAGTTATTCTTTCCACCTACCTAACCGGGAGAGGTTTTAGTGGTTTTACTTTCCACGTAGCGCAAATATTCACCACGTAGGCAGCATAGCTCCAGTGATTGATTCAGGAATTCCCTTATCTTCCAAGTTGGGTTCAAAATTACAGATTTATGAAATTAAAAAGTACTATCTACGTGTACTTCTCAATCAACGTGGTCGCAAATATTCACCACGTAGGCAGCGTAGCTCCAGTGATTGATCCAGGAATTCTCTTGTCTTCCAAGTTGGGTTCAAAATTACAGATTTATGAAATTAAAAAGTACTATCTACGTGTACTTTTCAATCAACGTGGTCGCAAATATTCACTACGTAGGCAGCATAGCTCCAGTGATTGATCCAGGAATTCCCTTGTCTTCCAAGTTGGGTTCAAAATTACAGATTTATGAAATTGAAAAGTACTATCTACGTGTACTTCTCAATCAACGTGGTCGTAAATATTCACCACTTAGGCAGCGTAGCTCCAGTGATTGATCCAGGAATTCCCTTGTCTTCCAAGTTGGGTTCAAAATTACAGATTTATGAAATTGAAAAGTACTATCTACGTGTACTTTTCAATCAACGTGGTCGCAAATATTCACCGCGTAGGCAGCGTAGCTCCAGTGATTGATCCAGGAATTCCCTTGTCTTCCAAGTTGGGTTCAAAATTACAGATTTATGAAATTGAAAAGTACTATCCACGTGTACTTTTCAATCAACGTGATCGAAAATATTCACCAAGTAGGCAGCGTAGCTCCAGTGATTGATCCAGGAATTCCCTCGTCTTCCAAGTTGGGTTCAAAATTACAGATTTATGAAATTGAAAAGTACTATCTACGTGTACTTTTCAATCAACGTGGTCGCAAATATTCACCACGTAGGCAGTGTAGCTCCAATGATTGATCCAGGAATACTCTTGTCTTCCAAGTTGGGTTCAAAATTACAGATTTATGAAATTGAAAAGTACTATCTACGTGTACTTTTCAATCAACGTGGTCGCAAATATTCACCACGTAGGCAGCGTAGCTCCAGTGATTGATCCAGGAATTCCCTCGTCTTCCAAGTTGGGTTCAAGATTACAGATTTGTGAAATTTAAAAGTATAGCTGCAAATCCAATGTGTATCACCAGTTCTACGCTAGCGATGCACGTTAAATCTGTCGAGTCTCAAAGTCCTCCATGTTCCCATAGCAAATCAATACCTCTGGGGGTACTGAATTGGAGATTGATCGTTCTCTGATTCAGGTCAAAAATTACGATCTGTGGATAAATGAATGGATGTTATGAATGGATCCACCCTATAAACGGGCGTGACGTATGGGTGTGGCAGAAGTCGAATTCTTGACCAATGATGGCGCCACTGGGAAACACGAACAATGGCACCCCCCCCTGCCTTAATGGCATAAGTCAACAACAACGCTAGTGATAAAATAAATTTTTAAAAAAAATCATGTGAATTATTGGAGCAAGGAGAGAAAGGAAGTGCTGAATGAGTGTAATGAATCAATGAATTAGTAGATTAGTGAATCAGTGAATTAATGAAGGTACGAATCAGGAAAATGGAGAATTCATTTGTACATGAATATTTAAAAAAGTTTAAGTTTATGAGTTGTTGTATAGCTGTGGACCAGGAGTTTTGAATATTTTTTCTTTACTTTTTTTGAGTCTTGATATTATTTAAAAAATAGGCTTGAAATTCATTATCATCCATATCTTAAGT